TGGTTCCGGGAACAAAATACTGCGTAACACGCCAATGGCCCCTGCCCAAAGAGCAGTGTGACGTGATGACGCCTTTTGCCTTGCGCACGAGGCAGGAACGGTGCGTGAGAGCAATTTTTCCCGATTAACACCACGTTTTGTGTCCGGGAGCCGAACGGCAAGTGGCGTATCGTTCACGTAAAATAAGCTAAACGCTACCACCATTCCGGCACAAACGCCGTTTCCTGGAAAGGATTATCTCCAGAACAATATGGCTGGCTATGCGAAGTACAGCGCATTCGACTTGGTAGATGGGTTTTACCAATTGCTCATGAGAGCGAGTGATATCCGCTTACAGCGGTGAGTTCTCCAAGCGTGATGCTCTGAAAGTGGCTAAAGACGCCTTGAGGGCTGTCAAATGCACCAACAATATCTAATCGTCTTGTGACGCAATTGTTCACGCCTCACCGTGCGTATGCATAAAAATACTTCGACGACATCTTCATTCGGAGTCTTGCGGGGCACGGTTGGACAGATGAGGTGAACCACATCGTCTATTTGAGAGCGGTGCTCGAGTGCATGCGCATGAATGAGTTGTATGCAAATGCGGATAATTGCATTTTTGGCGCTGAAACAATCCCTTTGGTAGGGTGCTTCATTGGGAAGCGTGGCCTTCGAGCGGATTCCGCCAATGTCAAGGCCAGTGTGAACTGGCTAGTTCTAAAGAACCGAGAGGTTGCTTGGCCTCGACAATTACTTGCACACGTATAGCGCGTATTATGCGGAAATGACACGGCCATTGTCAGATCTTCTTAGGGAGGATGCGGAATGGTGTTGAGACACCGAGCATCGGGCGCTCTTCGCGCACGTCCACTTCCTTGTGGCTTCGCTGTAGGGTAGACAGCGAAAAAAAATTTCGGTGCGCTGCGCCTATCGCTCAAAGAGCTCACCGTCATCTGCAGCGGTTTTGCCAGGGATGAGCACCACAGGGATGGTCAGCAGAGCACCTCTTTTTGAGCTCGAAGTCGAGCGCGATACCGATCCATTGCTATCTCTTGTGGAACCAAAACGCGAACTTGCAGAGCTTTCCCTGATCAAGCCCAGCTTGTGTAATGACCGAGTCCCGACTACGTAGACGCCTAACGATCGAGAGATCGTGTCTAACGCTTCAGTAGCAGTATTCCACTCGAGGGTATAAGACCGAACGAGGATACGAGCGCAGGAGAGCCGCCTTCAATTGCTGCTTCTGTGCCTCGTCAAGGCGATTGATAATTATATTACTTCCCTCGGAAGCCGAGAGGTCGGGGAACGGACATGGTGTCCGGCAGGGTTTGAGCTGGACTCACGACGTACCGTTGGCGAACTTCATCTTGCTCTTCATTCCCATGCTAAGAAAGGAGTGCCCGAGTCATAATCGACTTCCTCCGACTCCTCGATGAGGGAATCCGTCGCCCGGCTCGGCAACACTGAGCGCCAGGCACCGCACCCGCTGGCTTGGTACGTGTTTCCCGTGAAGACGCGGACGTACCGTCCGGAGATGCATCCCGTGCAGAAAAAGAAGAAGGACTTTGCCCACAGACACCTCACTACCAGCAAGGCTGAGCGTTTGCGCGCCAGAGTAGACACAGTGCACATAGAGCGGAGAAGATTTCATGCTGTTCTCAGCAACGTGACGGTGGCTCAGACACGCGAGCCTCGTATGAGGCGACCGTTAAATGTGAATTGAGGATATTCACAATTTTCAGGGGGGGGGATAACGGGATGACACGTACCTTTGTAAGAAAGGGCGGGTCGCACAAGATTGTGCGACCGTACATAGGTGTGTATTACACAGTTTGTGTAATCAGACGTTGGTGTGGCTACACCGTAACAAGAAGCCGCCATGTGGCAGGATTGCCAGTAGTGATTCATATTACTATATTAATTTGGTTTTGCTATATTAATTAGGAATTAATGTATTTATTAGGAATACCTAGGGTTTTAGATATTGGCGGGTCTGCCGCAACTAGAACAATTAAATACAGTTTCGTTTTTATACAGAAGTGTTTGTTTGCCTTGATAAGGCTTAAGTACCTGGAAGCAGCGGATTGCGATCCGCTACACTTGTACTGGTTCTTGGAAAGAGCTTAAAGTCGGTGACCTGACCTTAGCTTCTTCTAAGCAAAGAGGCACGGCGGCCCCGCTGCAGCAACACATCTCAAAAATCCCAACGACATTGTGGGTTGAGTCTGCGGTCTTTTAGAAATTTATAGACTTATAGCTTCTGATATAAGTGACGAATTACTTCGTTATTATGTACATTATCTTCCTACAACTCTATGCTGCTTATGCATCCCCTGGCTTCCGCCGTAGCATCACACGCGCAGTTCATACCACTCAGTATCTTCGAGATATGACAGTCGTTTCTGCTGTGAAGCATAGCTGGGCTGATATGGGCAAGTCGACTAGTATTGAACACACCACCACAAAACCAAAGTCTTCATATAGATGTCAAGGAAGCCTGGTAAGTAATTATACCATCTCTAAAAACGATGCAAAACTCGTAAGAATCCGTACTGCGCTCTATCACTAACTAACTGTGTTAAAAGTTTAATTTAGCAAAACAGTAACCTGCGCAGGTTCATCGTAGGAGATCTAAATGACCATCAATCGGATGATCCGCTGTGAGCGTGTTCAACATGGTGCTAAGAACCATAAACGAATGCTTGACAGTTTTTTGCAATAAAGCACGAACATCGACAAGCATGTCGACGGAGAGCTTTTTCGAGAAAGTGCTCGATTAGGTAATGATGCTACTATCAGTGGCGAGATGAGAAAATTTGCTCAAATAGATATACAGATACAACACCGCCTGTATATCGGGTGCATTCCTTGAAGGACAAAAATCTACCATCGTTCTAAACCTGCAATAACTCACCGGAAGGGGTAGACTAGTCAAATACGCTGCTTACAGCTCCAAGATGTAAGCTGAGTAGAAATAATCACCTCTAATCTCAAATTTAAGCATTTGTTCTTTGTACAATATTATACCAGATATAATCCTTTTTGTCGACTACAACTTTAATGGCATTAATCTGAGTGGTTAGAAAATGTCTTTTTGATGCCAATATCAAAAAAAATCTAGGCTGTCTATTGACTGACAAATAAATCGAAAATTTGGCCTCGCTGACCGAGTGTGGCTTCCGTGAGTCTGGGAAATTGAATATATCCCATCAATAGTGTGAGCAGCATTGAGGCATTCCTTGATGATTCATCTGCGTTAATTTTCACCGTTTGCAATAGAGCAGCTTCCTGCTCCGAGCGCGTTGTACCGGACCATTCGTCCACAATACGGTGTAGCGGTGTCACCTATGATTCTTATCGGTAGGTAGGTTATTTGTATCCAGAAAAGATTAGAGCTACATGACCAAAACCTCAAGTTATATGCGAGTATATATAGAATTCTCCGTGAGCTTGTAGAGGCCATACCATTGACCCGCTCTTACTAGTCATTCAATACAAAACGCCCTGTTGAAGACAGAGCAACGTCCCAACCATTGGATTGACTCTCCACATTAGGACAGCTATATGGTTTTGAGCCGCATACGATCCATAGCTTGAAATACTTCCAATTAGTGGCTCATCTCAGTATGAGCTGCACCTCAAGACTATCGGAGAGGGTAGACGCATCGACATAATCGAAAGAGTTTTTGTAAGCCAAGGGAGGGTTGATAATACGGGGTTACACGCACCCAGAGTATAACGGATTAACAGTCCCCTTGTATGAATGGGCAGGGCACAAAACATTGTCGGACCGTACATAGGTGTAGATTACACAAGCTGGCGTAATCACACAATGGCGTGGCTACACCGTAATAATAAACCAGTACGTGGCAGGACTGCCAATATTAATGCATATTCATTATATTAATTAAATATTACCGTATTGATTAGGATTACCTAAGGCTTTAGATATTAGCGGCTCGTCCGCAACTAAAGCAATTAATACAACTTCAACTTTGAGCGGACGAGCGTCCTTACCTTAGTGAAGGTTTCTAATACTTTGAAGGTAGCAGATTGCGATCCGTCACACTCGTACTGGTCCTAGTAAAGAACGTCAGGTCGGGACCTTGGCATAGCTTCCTCTAAGTCTACCTCCACGCGATGGAACGCTTCCTCGTCTCACAAGCATGTGTGTTATGTTTGAGGGTCTGTTGTAAACGGCGCCCTTTCACAGTGTGGCGTTATGTATGCAATCCAATAAATTGTTTTCAGCATAGACAAAGTGCCTTTTGGCTCCGACGTTACACAGATGCTTCATTCGGACTTGGCTCGCAAGAATATTCTAAAATGATTAAGGTCACAGTGCAGTAGCCAGTGCCGCCAACCCCGAGGTTTTGGTCGTCTCGCCTAGCCAATTACTTGCACAATACAGTGCCAATTACACGGACATGGCGCTGCACCTTATGAAATAACGTCAATAGATGTCGATTGACGCTGGGGTACGGTAGAGGAGGTGGCGGCCTTCACAGCTTCAAAAGAAAAATTTATACGTGGCTTTCCCTGGTAATTTCGGAGCCAGGTTATCCATTTTACGCCGTCTATGCCAATTTGGTCTCTGTCATAAGCGAAAGCTAGCTTCGAACGAATCCAAAAATGAGTTCAAATGCGTCATTACAGTCCAATTCGTAACAAAGAGCTACTTACTATCCATTATGCCTGTTGGAAGTTCAAGTTTTACCCGCCTGGATCATATAATTGTTTATGATATATACAGATCATGCGTTGTTACATATAGCAGCATTTTTGCCTCATCTTTTGCAAAAATGGCAGGATGGTTATCTTTATTGCAGTGTATACCATTAAGGCAAGTATAGGTTGGTTCAAATCGAAGCAATGGCGAATGCACTTTCGCGTCACCCAGACTACATGTCATAATGGTGACCTCACGCATTCATGGTGCAGCATGACCAGCGTAAGTACAAGTTGCTTATTTTTTGAGAAATCTGGAAAGATAGATGACTCCGGGCTTAAGAAATGAATTAATTTTATTGCAAAAGGTGATACAAATAGAAAATATTCGCGAGATGTGATACAATGGTGTTTTAAACACCATTGGTATGAAAAATACGGGGAAGGCCAACG